GGAGGGCTAAAAAGGTTATAGCATCCCATTAGGTTAATAAGGTTTACAATTAAAGTTTACAGAAACCCCATGCACGGTATTGTTATCCTAGGGTGTAAATATCATCAGGTTCCAATGGAACTCCCATGGGTTTGCAAACCTTCTGTAGGACCATGATATTTGTACCGTCATCTCCCTCTCTCTGAACGTTGATTTTCACCCCTTTGGCCGCTCTGCCCGTGCTGCGGCGGCCTGTAGGTTTGTCAGTCCGGTCCCAGACCGCTCGCGGTGAGTGCCTGTGTGCGCTGGCCGCAAAAGGACACGAAACACGGCGTCCCGTCCGACATTCGAGAAGGAAAAGCTGTCGGGGGGCGGGGAGGGCGAAAGGGGAAAGGGGAAGGGGGCGTGGGTGGAGCAAGGAGGCAAAGCAAGAGAGAAAGAAGAAACGAGTCGAGCGAAAAATGATGACAAACGTGGCCATCGATCAATTGAAATAAGGAATTGATTGATAATCGGATAGGGGAAGCGCTCCACTGGGTCCGGACAGAAAAGTTTTCCCCGTAAATCTTTTCGCTATTCGGCGTGGCGCGGTGCGGCGGCGCGGGCTACAAAAGCTTGCCACCGCCGCAAGCAATCTCAAGCAGCCAGTACGAATGGCGCATTGTAAATCTTTCCCAAACTAATTTCGGTACACATTTTTGGCCAAAGTTATCAGAAAGTCCGGGCAAGCAGGGCAGGGCAGGGCGGGGCGGGGCCGCGACTGGTCGGACATCACCTCGTTTGCAAGCGGGCTCCGCCAGGATGAGAAACAGGGTCCAACGGTCCACAAGGATCAATTTTGGACTTTGGGGAAAAAACTGTAACGGTTCAATGTCAGCACACGGCAAAGAGACAAGTGATCGTTGAAGTCGAACGTAGTGCACAAAGACTCATCTTCACAGTGTGTTGCACTATCAGACATGTTTACTCAGCTTCTCCCACCCACAGCAATTTACATGACATTACTTGTCGCATTCCATTTGCAGACTTGTCGGCCAATGATCGACTATTGCGTGCTCTTCTGCGCTACAGATCGCGACTGCAAAATTCACTCGAGGAAGGGAAGGGGCACGTCGCGCCGGGCACGTCCGCGGCTGATGAGGACGTGCAGTCCCACCCACTCCACCATCGATCCCCCGCACATGCATAAACGCACCGGGCAGAGGGGGCCGCTGCTGCCGCTGCTGCTGCTGATGGCGCGCGCGGGAGGGCCGAGGGAAGCCCCGCAGCGGCCGGGGCACATCGAGACATTATTGCATCGTAGAGCGACAATGCTTCACGTGATAAAAGTATACATTATGCACAGACTCGCGTCATAGTCGATCAAAACCATACGTATAACTCTGTTGTAGTGATTATCATCTGTAGTACAAGAATGAGAATGGCAACATGTTAAAGACGATGGCTACCCAACTGAAAACTGGTAAGGCTGATTTTGGGGGTACTTTGTATCATACCCCTCAAAACCCGCCAGGGGTTTTTCAGCCACCAGATACCGAGCCTTTGTCGTGGTGACCGTTTGCGAATCCAGTCGCAGCTATAAGCAGCCCCCAGCCTTCCCCCCCATGTTTGTCGTCCGCCCTAGGCACGCAGACATGTTGGCTATCCTGACCGGCATGTTGACCACCCCGCGCGCGTCGCCCAGCAGCTCGCCGCCAATCCCGAAAA